TAAATAAAGTGTATTTTTAAATTTCATGAAACTCACCTCGCAAATAAAGTAATTAACTTATTTTAGACATTTTTTTTCTGTATTCTCTCGTAATATCAAGCATAAATTTAACAATCTTAATTTTTAACTCCTACATGGTTCAATTAAGACAATCTAATTTAAATTTAAGCCAAATTCAATAATTAATTTTAACTTAGAATCCACAACTTTTTAATCATATATTTCATTTATTTTTTTTGTCAGAATCTATTTAAAGTCTATTATTTATCTAGAAAAAGGTACAAAATTTAGTTGCGAGCACGTTTCTGCATTACGAAAGTTTTTTGAAAGGGATCATTAATATGCCTAGTTAATGCTCCGTCCGATCTAACAGATGAGGAAAGAAAATCTGTCGACGTAGCAATTTCAAAGGTTTCACATGAGTGGGCCATGTGTCGTGTCTTCTTCTTCCTTCCACTCACTTCTGTGTCTGGGGTTCTTCAGTCTTCACACTAGGAATCTGTTTGGAAGTGATTTTAAGAATTGATTTTTTTACCGTTAGGAGAAAAGTGGGATCCACCTATGAGAGACGAAGTCAAATATGACGGCTGGAATAATGAAATAACGGTCAATACAACTGTAGCTGGTATAATTAATAATATTTTTCAAGCAATCCACATCATTGAAAATTACAGTCCATCATTTTTACATGATCTAATACTTCAATTGCATTTTTCATCTCTATTGACAAATCATGTCTCACAATTTACAATTCAAAAAATATCAGAATCCGTGTCATGCTTCAAAATGTCTTCAAGCTCATCACATTAATTCCTCAAACAATTATAATTCGCATACTGCAATTTTGTTGAATCAAACAAAAATTCGACAGTCTTTTCATATTTTTAATATTGTTCAAACCTTAAGTGAAAAGGGACTTGATCAACTTCAAAAGATTCTTCATCTGGATGTGTTATCTTAATCGTTGACAATTTTATTAAAGTGCTTCTTTCTACTAATAATATGATTTTCATGAAATTTAGGTTCAACTTTTATTTGAGCAGTAATTTTTTAGCAACAATGTAGTAAGAAACAAATTCAGTTTCTCTATATGTTTTAAAAAATGAATAAGTGCTCTCAAGTAATATCAATACTAATATAGCCGTATTGTACCAAATAACTATGCTAAACAAGAAATAAAAATGCATGTCAGAAAATAAACGTTTACCATCTCTAAATGTCTTAAAGTCATTATATGTTGGTCAATTGATGGTTTCATGGACGGTTTCTGTTCAGATGGACTTCGTGTGCATATTTATGAACGTGTAGGAATCTCCACAAGCATAATTGAAAGTCAGGATAAAGTCTGTACAAATTAAAAAGGTTAGAGACTGTTGTTGCAATTTTTCCGTCCATGTTTTCACCTAGTAATTTAAAGTTTTTTTTTTTACTGGACTCTTCCAACATATTTGTGATAGCAACTTAAGTATTTGACCTTTTACATTGCATCGATTTGTAGAGTAAGAAAATAGTATTTATTTACATTGTACAATTCCAAAAAAATATTTAACCTTCATATAAGAATTTGTCATATCACAAAGTGCAAAATTAAGTGCTTGTTTGGTACGGATTTTAAGTAAATTAAGATTAATATTTTAACCGTTATTTTACTATTCCAGCTATTATTTTTGAATTCTTTTCTCACAGATAGGACTCACTTTATTTCTAACGATCAAAAAATCAATTATCAAAATTCCTACCAAACAAGCAATAAGATTATGATAATCACATGGTGTTTAAAATGTCTTCGGGTTTACTTTTCTAGTACTATTTTCTGTAAACCTTTAAGCTTCCCTTTTATATTAGAACCATTATTATAATCCTAACCTCCTAAAACATCAATATCAAGTTCAAATGTTTTCAAATAAAGAAAATATGAATAGCCTGAAAAACTTGCAAACAATATCCATGAATAATATATATACTTGAGGCCGCACCTTATCTAGTTCTTTTGTTATGTTCGAGAAGAAAGATTATATGTATGTCCAATCTCTAGTGATGGTGGGACCTTCCACCCTCCCCAATCCTTGAAAGCCCATTCGGGGTCTATCCTTCTATCTCAACTCGAGTCTTAAATTTAGCGCCTTACATAATGAGAATTGCCAAAGTATCATCACAGTTAAAAATGGAATATAAATGTAACACTTGGAAAGCTAATGTAATCCATACTTCCATATCAAAATTGAAAGAAGAGGAAGAAAAAAAATGCTCTCACACACACAATAGTCAATAGGGCAAAAAATTAAAGTAAAAAAATTCATAAATCTTCGTATTAATGTCAAAGACCGTAAACTTAAGTTTGAGAATTTGCACAGTGTTGAAATTGGGGATGAACAAAGAAAATGAAATAAATTTCAAAAAGTCAAGTAATAAACAAAGAAACGGGGGAAAAAAACGAAAATATAACTTGAAAACGAGTTAAATGAAATAAAATGAAAAGTCACTAATATATTTAAAACTTTTTTTGTGAGACATTTCAAGTTCTTTTTATTTTTGGTGCATTTTTAAACAAAAATTTCCATCATTTTAGGCCCCCTTTTCCTCGTTTTTCATTGTTTTAGTCGGAGGTATGCGTGCAAGTTAAGGGAGATATAGAGTATGAATTTAGATATAAACCACTCGATCCAACTCACTTCAATTGAGGGTGGGACAGCCACTTAACATGGACATATATAATCCAACACTAAGAAATCGTGAAACCAATAACAATAGAGACGGAAAGAAAGAATATTGCGTTCATTAGACACTCTCATTGCGTTCCTATTGTTTTCATAATTATTCAAACCAAACAAAGATGGAAAGTATGAGATAGAGTAATTCAACTATCTTATAATCTTATCCTAATTACTTGCACTTTCTCAATAAAATATCTAAAAATGAGATATTTGAAATTAATCAACATATTGTTAATTATTTTGAAAGAGGATTCACATCAAGATTGAAGTTCGAGACTCTCAATAGGTCGATAACAAAAGATTAATAAAAATTGACATAAATTAAGACGATAACAAAAGATTAATAAAAATTGACATAAATTAAGAAAAACTATTCATATCTATCTTCATTATTATGTTTGCTCTAACACATATGAATATCTTTTCGATTTTCATTTTTCCAGAACATTTAACTTAACAAAATGGAAAAGCATTACTTTTTCTATTCTTAGATAGGAGACTTTTTTTTTTTTTTTTTTTTTTTTCCATTTTTCGATTTATTCAGATTGTTCCAAATCCCAGGAAACAAAATCTTAAAAAAAAAATTAATCAATAAATCTCAATTATTTACTTGTATTGTTTTTATACCTTTCCATGTGATAGTGTGACTATATATGTAGAAGAGGATCTCTTTATCACCAGTGTATCCTCAATATATATCACAAGACAATTAAAGACTCCTTTACACAAGTTTTATTAATATTCGTACGTGACAAATTACAATAAAATATTGGAATGGATAGATGATAAGAATGGTATAAAGTTACCCACTATGTACACTTATTGACTTTTATCGATAACAATCTTACGGAAAAATAACTTGGCAATTTACCATGCACTCTATACCTTCTCTATGTAATACAAGGTTTATGGAACATTTGCGAGTATGTGTGTAGTTCATTTTATGTGAAAATTTTAAAGTTTGCATTTTTTATTTGTAATTAGAATTATTTAGAATTTTATGTAATATTTAGAAAACTTGAACATTATATTTTTATTCTTTTTCTCTTATAGAATTTGAAAATTATAGTGAAAACTATAGAATCTTATCAACTTTTAATGAAGAAAATCCTTTTTGTTTTTAATTAATTAAGAATGATTGACTCTGTCTTTTATTTTTTCCTTCTTGATTTTGCAAAGTTGACACATTTACTAGCTAAAATAAGTTTAGTAAGAGCATTTTCAAAAGATTCTTTAAACATGAGACATTCTCTATTTTAAAGAGTCAAATCTTTAAAATCATACTTGAAGAGACTCTTTAAATTAACATTTTATTTTAGAAAGTGGGTCTGGCTCTCCAAATTTGGATATGGAAATTCACTTTTTATAATTAAATGCACTTAAAGTATTTCAATTTTCAATGTAGGAAAATAATAAAATAATCTAGAAAAAAGCTAGTTAAAATAAAAGATAGAGAAAAATAATAAATATTTTTTTGGAATGGTAAAATTAAGTTTTAAATAAAAAGAGTTTATTAAAGTACTTTAAAATTCTAATTTTCTAAATTTATAGATAACCTTTAAAAAATAAAAAGTCTCTTGAAGATGTACTAATATAATATGTCGTTATTACTATATTAAATTTTAATGACCAACCAACAATGTTACTTTTGCACATAACTGGATATAAAACACATCAATGGCTACAGGCCTCATTGAGTTCTCGATTCACACCTAGAGTTTTCAATTAGTAGATTGGATTAAACCACAGTGTTCCTGAAATGATAAGTGAATTAAGCTACTCAAACGGGGAGTTTTGATAGATAACGTCGAGTTTAAGATTATTGCTTCCAGGACAATGTGTACTTCAGTACTTGTATTGTCGAGTTTAAGAATTTCATTTTTTTCCTATCGAACATGATAGACTGTCTGCCTGTCTGGTAAACATATTAAGTATTAGTATTCTATTACCTAACAATGTGTACTTCAGTACTTGTATCGTAGAGTTCAAGAATTTCATTTTTTTCCTATCGAACATGATAGACTGTCTGCCTGTCTGGTAAACATATTAAGTATTAGTATTCTATTACCTAACAATGTGTACTTCAGTACTTGTATCGTAGAGTTCAAGAATTTCATTTTTTTCCTATCGAACTTTATAAACTGTCTGCCTGTCTAGTGTCTGGTAAACATATTAATATTCTATTCCCTATCTTGTACTTTTGCTCCTAAAATTTGTTCAGATAAGGAGGCTGAGAAGACAAATGGCGTTGAAGAATCCAAGTATCAAGGAGGCGGATATGGATGATACCCTGGTGGCGGTTACCCCGGTGGTGGATATGGAGGAAACCGTGGAGGATGCCCTGGTGGCGGTTCCCCCGGTGGTGGATACGGAGGAAACCGTGGAGGTCGTGGTGGCGGAGGAGGCTACTGCCGCTATGGCTGCTGTGGCCAGAGCTATTACCGAGGGGGTTGCCGGTGCTGTACATATGCAGGTGAGGCAGTGGGTGCTGAACCTGAAGCAAAGCCTCACAACTAAATCCCACCTCAGAAATGCTGTGTTCTCTTAAAAGTTGTTGTATCTTACGTATGAACAGGAGGCTGAGTGATGTACAGTGTAAATTGTAATCTATATTTACTTGTATTTTCAATACTCAATTTCCAGCAGCTTCAGTTGAAGGGAATTTATACACGTTATTGAGCTTGGGGAATAAGTTACAAGAGTATTCTAGAATACACAGCTGTAGCAATTTCCTTGAATCATGGGCTGTGGCTGGAATCCATTAATAACAGAATTTCTGCAGCACAATCTGGTGTTGTTGGTGTAACAGAAATGGCTGATAAGCTGATAAATCAATAGGCAAGATAAGTTCATTAGCTGATTAGGTGATGAGCTGTAGGTTGGCTTATCTTTACACCCCCTCTCAAGCTGGACGGTACAGTTGTAACTCCAAGCTTGTCCTTCAGAAAATTGAACCTGGAATGAGATAAACCTTTAGTCAGTAGATCTGCAACTTGGTCTGAAGAAGGGATGTATTTTACTTCCAATTCTTTTCCAAGCACTTTGTCTCTAACAAAGTGAATGTCCAGTTCGATGTGTTTTGTTCGAGCATGATACACGGGATTTGCTGCTAAGGCACCAGCACTCATATTGTCACACCACAGGATTGGAATTGATACTTGTGATAGCTCAAGCTCTTTGAAGAGTGATTGAATCCAAGCAATTTCTGAGGCTGCAGATGCAAGGGCTCTATATTCTGACTCCGTGCTTGATCTAGCAACTACATGTTGCTTCTTTGATGACCAGGCTATCAGATTATCCCCCAAATAGATGCAGTAACCAGCTGTAGATCTTCTATCATCCGGACAAGAGGCCCAGTCTGCATCTGAGTATCCATTTAATATCAAGCTGTCACTTCTTTGTATCCACATCCCTTGATTCATGGTTCCTTTAAGATATCTTAGCACTCTTTTCAATGCCTGCCAATGTGTTGAAGTTGGTGACTGGAGGAATTGGCTCAGTTTATTTACAGCAAAGGTGATATCTGGTCTTGTGTGTGCGAGATATTGCAACCCTCCTACTGCACTTCTATATGTTGAAGGATCTTGCATTGCTTCTCCATCAGTTTTAGACATGGTTTTGCCAGTGATAATGGGGGTAGGACAAGGCTTTACGTTTTGGAGCTCAAATTTCTTGAGTAATTCGGCAATGTACCTTGTTTGTGTAAGATGAATACCTGAGTCATGCCAACACACTTCAATGCCTAGGAAATGGTGGAGCTGTCCCATGTCTTTGAGTGCAAACTTTTGGTTTAGTTCATCTATAAACTTTTGCAACAACTCTCTATCATTCCCCGTTATCACAATGTCATCCACATAGATAAGAGCAAATATGATCTGTTTTTCATTTTTGAAGTAAAACAACGATGTATCAGCTCTTGATTGCTTGAATTTCCAGCTTACAAGTGTAGTCTTCAGCTTGTCATACTAGGCTCTAGGTGCCTGCTTTAGTCCATAAAGTACCTTTTCTAGTTTGCACACATGAGATGGCTTTGAGATATCTACGAATCCCTGAGGTTGGTTCATGTACACTACCTCTTCAAGTTCTCCATTCAGAAAGGCATTGTTGACATCAACTTGCCTGATATTCCATCCTTTAGAAACTGCAAAAGTAAGAATAATTCTTAGAGTGGATGGTTTGATGACTGGACTGAAGGTTTCATAAAAGTCGACTCCAGGGGTCTGATGAAATCCTTTTGCCACCAGCCTTGCTTTGAACTTCTGAACTGATCCATCTGAGTTGTGTTTTACCCTAAAAACCCATTTGTTTCCAACTATGTTGTAGGATGGTGATGGAGGTACAAGTTTCCAAGTTTTATTTCTTACCAGTGCTTTGAACTCTTCTTCCATAGCTTCCCTCCAATCTGCATTCATCAGAGCCTCAGTGACATTTTTTGGTTCCATGCTTTCAGGACTATATTCAGTTGACTGGCCTGTGTAGACTTTAGGTTTGAATACCCCAGCCTTTCCCCTGGTAATCATGGGATGATGTGGTTGATCATTGGTTTTTTGCTTGTGCCTTTGCCTCAATTCATTAGTGACTGACTGTTGCTGTTGATTATTTGTGTGATCAACATTGCTATCTGGTTCAAGTGTTTCATAATTCTGAGGCAAATCAGGTTCTGTTTCCTCACAGTGCTTGCTGGTATCACTAACTGGCTATTGGAAATTTTCATTATCATTTCCATTGCCATCAGGCTGACTTAAGCTCGGAGGCAAGCAATGCATGACTTGGGTTGCATCAAGAGGAGTTGTATCAGCAAGATTTGAAGCAGAAGTTAAGTTATTGGGCTGATAATTTGCAGCAGGAGTTGAGTAGTTTGGTTGATGAGGAAAGTGAAAACATGCCACTATTGTTTCTGGTATAGTAGAATTTGGCCCTTTTTGTGAGAATATAGACTCGAAAGGAAACTCAGACTCATTGAAAACCACATGTCTTGAGATGTACACTTTTCCTGATGAGTTGAGACACTTGTAACCTTTGTGAGACTCACTATAGCCAAGAAGGACACATTTGGTTGAGTGGAAGCTGAACTTGTGTGCTTGATAAGGTCTTAAACAGGGATAACAAGCACACCCAAAGGTTTTAAGTGCTTCATAGTCAACTTTCTTTTTGTATAGGACTTCAAATGGAGATTGCATTTTGAGTGTGGGAGTAGGCATTCTATTTATGAGGTATGTTGCTGTTTGAAATGACTCCCACCAGTATTTTAAAGGCATTTTGGCTTGAGCTAGGAGGGTCAATCCTGTCTCTGTTATATGCCTGTGCTTTCTTTCTACTCTTCCATTTTGAGCTGAGGTGTATGGACAAGGGTGTCTAAACTCAATTCCACATTGTTTTACAAGGTTTACAAAGCTCCTATATTCACCTCCCCAATCAGATTGCAAGGTTTTTATCTTCCTGTCAAATTTGTTTTCAACCAATTTTTGGAATTGAATGAATATGTTTAATGCTTCAGATTTTTGTCTCATGGGATATATCCAAGTGTATCTACTGAAGTCATCTAGGAAGGTAATGTAATAATTAAAACCTGATGTTGATTGAATAGGTGCTTGTCCCCAAACATCTGGTTCAGTGTTTAGATGATGAAGTTCCAGCTGATACAACCCTTCTTTAAGCTTCCCTTGTAGCATTACTTCCCTCGTTTGCTTGTCCTTAACAAAACAGCAATTTGAATGAAATTCCATATAGACATTATTATCAGATGTTAGTTGAGAAACACTTATGAGGTTTTTTTTTTTATTGCAGGTACATGCAGCAATTTTTTCAACACAAGTGGTTTGTCTATTAAGGTATTCAAGTGATTCATGCCAATATGTGAAATATGCAATCTATTTCCATTGCCAACTACAATTTTTTCCTTACCAGTGTACTCACTTGCTGAATTTATGTTTTCCATTTCTGCAGTGACATGGTTACTGGCTCCCGTGTCTGCAAACCAGGCAGGGTCACTTACAGTGTTGGGAGATGCCATAAGGACTGTTGGTGATGAGCTATAGCTACTTCCCTGGTTTGGTGGTTTTCCTGTATAGCGTTCATCATATCTAAAGTTGTAGATATTTGCCTTGTGTCCAATTTTGCCACATACTTGACAGACAGGTTTTTCACTGATGTTGAAGCCACCACCTCTGTATCTGCCTCTTCTTCCTCCTCTGTTGAATCTGCCGCCATTATTTGGCCTGTAGGCTCTGAAGTGATGGGTGCTTAATCTTGGTTTTTGGGTAAAATTGATTGATGTTTGATTGAGGTTAATTTCTGCCATTTCATTTTTCACCAAATTGAGATGTTCAAGTCTGCTTTCATAAGTCATGAGTGTTGATTGGAGTTCTCCTCAAGAGATGGAGTCTCTGCCATTGATTTGAACAACAATGGGTGTGTATTCTTCATCCAAACCAGCCAGGACCTAAGTTACAAGATCCGAGTGAGGGATGGTTTTTCCAGCAATCTCAAGGTTGTCTGCCAGAAGTTTTACTTTGCTGAGGTATTGATCGATGCTCAATGTTCCCTTCCTTGATTTCTGAAGTTCCCCAGTGAGAAATGTTATTCTGGATTTGTTTTGGATGCCATAGCTCTCTTTTAATGCAGCCCACAATTTGCTGGAGTTGCTGCAGCCCATGACCCTCATAGCTATTTCAGGGGTCATTGATGAGTAAAGCCACCCCATTAGCAGCTGATCTGTTGACATCCACTGATCATATTCAGGATTCTTTTTCATCTCAACCATCATTCCTGCATCTCTAGAGATTTTGGTACCAATGAATTCTGGAGGACACACCTTTGTCCCCAGAATGTATCCATCCAGATTGTGTCCTCTTATAATAGGGAGTATCATGTTTTGCCATAGCAGAAAGTTGTTCTTGTCAAGCTTGACAGACAACATTTGAGTTAGGTAGACACCAGATGATGAGAAATGGTTGCTTTCCTGCACTGGAGGCACCATTGTGCTTGATTCTGATGATGGAGAAGGATTGGAATTGGTGTTTAGTGGTGTATCATTGGCGTTGGCCATTGTAGGCTCTGATACCAAGTGTAAATTGTAATCTATATTTACTTGTATTTTCAATACTCAATTTCCAGCAGCTTCAGTTGAAGGGAATTTATACACGTTATTGAGCTTGGAGAATAAGTTACAAGAGTATTCTAGAATACACAGCTGTAGCAATTTCCTTGAATCATGGGCTGTGGCTGAAATCCATTAATAACAGAATTTTTGCAGCACAATCTGGTATTGTTGGTGTAACAGAAATGGCTGATAAGCTGATAAATCAATAGGCAAGATAAGTTGATTAACTGATTGAGTGATGAGCTGTAGGTTGGCTTATCTTTACATGTACAATATCCATTTATTGTGGATGCATGGTTTGTAATTTGTACCAGTTATGCCTCAGCCGTGGGAGTTAAAATAATGCAATATTATGCTTTGTTTTGCATGGATTTGTATCACTTTTTCTGTATTAATCTTTTTTTTTTCCTCTAAAAGAAATATATTAATTTCTGTTAGGAAAATGTATAATTGGCAATCTGTAACCAAAGGACCTATTTGTCATGTTTGTAACGTCATGGACTAAATTGTAAAGGTCTAATAGTTCAGGGACTAGAGTTGCAATTT